ACACGGGTAGGCTGTTTGCCTGGGGGTGGCATCTTGTCACATCTACAGCATCCCATCGACAACTATGTTGGATATGCATCAAAAGCAGCGGCAGTAGGTGAGGATTGTTTCTTCGGCAACAGCAAGGCTTCAAAGAAGACTGCATGTGCCCAGGCTTGTGCTGCTGTTCCCACACAAGAGCAGAGCTGGTCTCCCTCTCAGAATTTTCTACTACGAGATTACCTGTGGGTGGAAGGGTTGCAGGACGTGGGGATGATGATGCCGTGAGCACGTCCGCGGGTTTGAAACCACCGGACGCACCGCGAACCCTTGCACTGGAGACCTAAACTGCGACGAAGCTTTATGCACCCTTATGACATGAGGTGGAGCCAGCTCTTGCAGCTCACATGCTGCGCCCGTCCGGAACTCAGCTCGGGTGCAATGCCAAGCTTGGGCAGATCTGAATCCGACGTGTGCAGTGTCATGGTGGTGGTTCATGAAGCATAACATGCTGTCCGGCATGCTCTTGTCTGGTTGCATGGAGTTTCAAGCTTCTGAACCCGGGCGTGTCTTGCAGGTTTCTGAAACGGCTCCGGCATCGTTGCGGATGATCCTGATAGCATTTAGCCTACGACGAAATGTTACACAAGTATCGCCAGTAGCCTCAAACGCAGGTCTGTCTATTTATCAATCGATATTTCGATCTTTTTTCTGTCTGTCCATCTATCTTTCGATCTTTCTACCTATCTGCCTATCTATACAGGGTCTCTCTTTTCTTGCATGCGGCGTTTGGGTTGTGCATAGATGCGCTGGCCTGAGGAAGTTGGCGGACCGAAGGCCGGCGATGCTGACTTGCCCTGTCCGTTTTCCAGGGGAGTGGCGCGTTTGCCGTTGCAAGCGGCCCAAAGATCCCCCGTTGAATAGTCTTCCATTACCAAATACAAGGGTCCAAGTCCAAGCTATCCTATCATATCATAGACGTCCAAAAGATGCCCCTGCTGGGCTAGGCTAGGATTTGGGATCCCGTGCAATCTCGAAATAGAGACCTTCAGCAGGGATCCGTATTCGTTTGATCTCATGCAGGAATGCCTTGCTGTAGTTATGTAGTTCTTTCGGCGTTCCAGCGAGTAGATGTAAGAAGGGCAAAGCGTTCAGAGATCTCCAGGTGTAAACCTCAAGGCCGACATCAGATTGCCTGGTCTTCACCCGGGCGTTCTAAAGCAAATCCTACAGCCTGCATCTTGTCTACAGCACACGACTCAAACTCTGTTTTAGTGTTAATAGGGTTTAGGGCGGGCTTGGGGTTCTGGCTTTCGGGTTTTGGGCATTTAGCGGTTGGGGTTTGGCACTTAGGGCCTTGATGCATCGTCCAGTTTCGTGAGCAAGGGCGTCCAAGACGGATGCTGTTGGTTGGAGCTCTGCAATCGCAGACGCTGTTCCATCAGCGTAGTCCTCGGTACTGCATGAAGAGGATTAGGAACACTCGAAGCTGGCTCCGACAGTCCTTTGCAATCGGGTCACTTTGAAAGCGCAGAAGCAAAAGCGCTCAGCTTCCAAGGTGGCTCCAAACTCCATATCCATCAACTCTCATGGTTGTGCCAGTTAGCCTGCTGTTGCCATGAAGCTTCAAGCACGGTCACACCGGGATGCTTGTAGCAGGGATGAAAGAGCCCATCGGGCTAGAATAGCTAGAACATGCTGGCGCGGTGGCAACAATAGGCTTTTCCACACGTGAGGTTGTTTCCACCGGGTTGACGGCTCCTAGACTGCATAGCGGGTGTTGCGGTTTTTGCTTCGGCGTGGCTCCTTGTCAGAAGAGTCGACCAAGAGCACCCTAGACAAGCCGAGAGCCCAACAATCTCTGGCAGACACCCGACGACACTGCTAGAGACCAGTGTTGATGCGCACCTGAGATCGCCCAGACACGGTATGCGTCGCAGGACTAGGGAAAAAAAAACCTTGCAAGCGAAGCGTAGAAGGCAAGCCACAAGTCGAAAGGTGAGATGAGATATGACGAGATCTCATCCATTTGGTCTCTGGTCCTCAGACGACATGAAATCAGAATCCCAGGCTGACCGAGCCTGTCTCGCCTGCGATGCCTTGTCCCTCGCATTGCAGTGGCATCCTGGCGTAACATTACAGGACAGAAGAGAAGTCTAGGCCCATCCGGAACCCAACATCCGCTGCACCACTGTCTTACCCATGTCCTCTGAGCAACGGAAACTTCAACGCATTGTGGCAGCACGTCAGCACCCTCACACCTCCACCACAAATCACGATGCTAACGGCCCTAGCTTCAGTTTTCGGGTCCGATCTTCAAGGATCCGTTGGGCATCGCGGGGAGCGAAATCTTTAGCAGGGGGGAGTAGATCATGCCATGAATCAGGGGAACTAAGCCCCAGGCCTTGAGTATGAAGCCCGAAACCTTGGACCTTGAAACCAAGGACCCATAAGCTTTTCATGAGCTTCCTGGTACCCTGGACCGATCCGTTGCTTTTGCTGCGTTAGCCCTCTTTCGTGTCTCTACTTGTCATTGCTCAACCTTGAAAGCTCTAAGCTGCTTAATCGTATATTGATACTCCTGCAAAACTCCTGGCTCCCGGGCTTCGTCGTAGACTGCGCTCGGACTCGTCCAGTGCCGTTGCCCAGCAGCCAAAAGCCGACGCTCGGCCCTTGCACGCTGATGGAAGCTTGAGGGCATGTCTCTGCAGATCGGTAAGAATGTCGGGAACACTGCTGTCAGTTGCCATGGCGGATTGTTTTTTTGCTCAGCTTGCGCCTGTTTGAATCGGCAGCAGTGCAATCTAACAATGCGGGCGGTGTACTTGTGCAATAGAAATTAGTTACTGAATCGAGATCGTCATGATTTGTCGTCGGAACTCGCTCTAGAGACAGGGGCACACCTTCAAGTTGTGACACGGTTTGTTCTATCTGAACTCACACTACATCGAGGTGCCAGTGCTAGCATGAGCGAGCGAGATAGAGGCACCGCTGAAAAACTGCACGTCTTGCCAACAAAGCAAACAAACACCCAACCTCAGGGTTTTTTTCTGTCCAACGATGGGGCGGCGCAAGCAGCACAAGCTGGAGAAGGCCTTGTTGTAGTAGCACTTTCGAAAGCTAACATATTGCACGGGCCTACTATCTTGGGATTCCTGAGTGTAGTCATAGTTAGAGTATAAAAGACCCCAAAGCCCACTTCACACTATTCAGGAACGTATAATACTGTAGCATGCTTGGAGGGTCGGGGGACTTAGTAACTGGTTCTTTTAGGGACTTATAAGTACCATAACCCCAATTAGGGTCTCTTTTAGGGTACTTATAAGTCTACTTACTACCTACTTACTAAGTCCCCCGACCCTCCAAGTGATTGGTAGCCTGCTATCATGACAGGACCGCGCCGCCTGCATCCACTTCAATGCTGCACCGCCCTTGGCCTTGAGGGTTTCCTGAAATTGTAGCATTATTCTCTAGGGTCCCCTGTCATCGTTGCACCATAAAGGAGCCCAGAGTCCTTTTCGAATTATTCAGGCCCCTACATCATCGAATGAGACTTCGATATCTGCTGAGTGTCTCAGGGTTTTTGTGTCACACGGCTCCTGCAGTTGAAGGCTCGTACTTCGCCTTTATAGTTGTCTTTGCCGCTACGACGATTGTGCTAGCTAGGGTGGACAAGCTGATTGTTGGGATTCTGACCGTGATCATGGTGATGGTGATGCTCTGCAGGTGCTGATTCTGATGACGATGGTCATGACTGGTTTCATCACTCTCGTCGTCTTGGCCACTGCTTCTAGCGATGGATTGGAGATCGTTGGCTGTCGCTTGGTGTTTGGTTTGCCTTTGGTGTTGCTCAGATGCGGGCGGCCCGTGAGGCGGCCCAGCTCGATGCTGCCCTCTGCTTGGATTCTCTTCGGTGGAAGTTGTCTGCCTTTGGCTGAAGCGAGACGAGCTTGAAGGTCATGGCCGGCATGCTGGAGGCAGGTCTGAGCTCGAGGTGCTCCCCGCAAGACTACTTGCAAGCAGAGCGCAACGTCGCCCTGCTTTGCGAAGCCCCGGCAGGTGCAGCAACCCCGTGGACCTCGAGGGAGCCTCCGATGCTTCACCTGTGGGGGGCCCTGCGATGGCTGTATGCGAGAAGCTTCGGATTCGTCAGAATCCTCTGCGTGGACTCAGGGCCCATTCTGAGAATGCAGAACTGTGTCGGAACATTGAAGACGGTTTGTGCTATTGACACAGGCTGCCAGTCCAGGCTCCGAAGGGCCACAGGCAGGTCTCGGCGCTGACTGCTGCGGAAGTTTGCGCATGTCTGTTGCGGTCTGGACGAGGCACCTGCGGCGCAGCCGCAGCAGCCAAAGCCCATGCCTTTGTGTGATGTCCCTGAAACCTCCGGACTTTTCTCTCGATTTGGCTGCTGTTCTTGTTCTTGTTTGCGTTAAGCCATGTAAAGCATAGTGGCCCTTTTCTAAGCAAGAGTGGCGGACTGACTGTCGAGCAGCATGCGACAGCTGAGGCCAGAAGTGGTGGCAACGCACGAGTCGCAGAAAGACGAGAGCGGCAGGCCTTGTGGATGCAAGCGTGATCTCCTGGCCGCACCATCTGCAGATGAGACCTGTCACAACGAGGTTGCAAGCGGATGATGATGCCAGTGAGCTGAACGCTGTGGAGTGCTTGGAGCTCTGATCTCAGACGTTTATCCAGACTGCATAGGTAAATATTCTAAGGCTCCGAGCCTCATGCTAGTCTTCAGCTTGAAGCTGTCGAATTCGATCATTAGGATGTCGCTGTTTGGGACTCTTGCCATGTGGCATTGTTACACTTCATGCGGTCATGCGAGCAGACGGGTCATGCCTGCGTCTAGAATCAAGCTATTTGTCATGTTCACTGCGCTGTCGATCGGTGCTGTCACGCCATTTTGAATCACATAACAAAAGCTGATGGAGCATCCCGCCAAGTTGCAGTGCAAGGATGAGGCGTCTGCAGCACTGGTGCAGCCATTGGTGGGAGATGCTCTTGGGGACGCCATGGCATCTCGATTGATGACTCCACAACCGGAGGCAACAGATCCATGCATTGCTCCCCTGAAGTCCCCCAGATCTTTGCGTCTTCTTTGGCCCCTGAGGAGTCTGAGGGCTTGGAGGCCCCGCCGTTTGCCTCGGCCTTCAATGCATCTCGGGACGGGCTGAAGTTTGGGGGATGTTTGTTGTGTTCTGGGTTGCCTCCTTTGCTTTACTCTGCGAGGACACTGCTTGGACACCCGACGACCTCGTTGCGAACGTGACCGAGGATGTCGTAGAGATCGATGGCCCGTGCCAAAGACAGCCCTCGGCTGTGAGATGAAAAGTCAGGATGATCGCGCCCTCTGCAAGGAAAGCCAGATTCCATGCAAGATGCTGCCAGCTCCCAAACCTCGACGGAGGACACTGCGTCGTCGCGTCGCGGGTGGAAGAGCGAGTGTCAAGTAGAGGAAACGCTTTTGGCTGTCATCTCTCTCTCTCTCTCTCTCTCTCTTTCTCTCTCTGTGGGTGTATCTGTGTGCGATGGGGAGAGCTCGACTCTGCTGCCGAAAAGCCTCCTCGTCTTCGTACATATAGATATAGAAAATTGTTTTCAACCGGAAGCCCTGACGACTTGCACCACGGTCAGGCGTTGCCGGCGTTGCTGGGCAAGGCCATGGACTGAGACGAGTGCACTCGGGTTCAGAGGTGTAGGCATCGGGGCTTGGCCACGAGGTTCGAGTAGTTGGGTCCGTTGCATGTTGTTTGCAGTGTTGTGGAGTGCAGCGTTGCAGTGCTTCGGAAAGGTGCAGTTCTCGGTCCAACACGAGTAAAATCGCCAGCTGTTTCGAATGTTTCGTCTGCAACGCCTACCTGGCCTACCTCCTCAGCAGCAGCGCACGTCAGCTCCCGCCTAATTTCGTAAAGTTCTAACACAGTTCCACGACGTTGTTTTGGGGTTCTTGTAGGTTTGTGTCTTTGTGTCTTTGCGTATGTGTGTGTGTGTGTGTGCGTGCGTGCGCGTGCGCGTGTGTGCGCGTGTGTGTGTGCGCGTGTGTGCGTGTGTGCGTGTGTGCGTGTGTGCGTGTGTGCGTGTGTGCGTGTGTTTGTGTTTGTGTGTGTGTGTGTGTTTGGCGTGGCTTCTGCATGCTTTTCACTCCTAACACGTTTCGATGATGTGGAGGCCGACAACAAGCAGCACAAAGATGCCACATCTATGTTGCAAAAGCAGCGGCAGCAGGCGAGGATTGTTTCTTCGGCAACAGCAAGGTTCCAAACAAGACTGCATGTGCCTATGCTTTTGCTGCTGTTCCCGGGCAGGAGCACCGTGGGTGGTCCCCCTCTCAGAATTTTCTACGACTAGATTACCTGTTGGTGGAAGGGTTGCAGGACATGGGGATGTCGTGAGCACGTCCGTGGTTTGAGACCACCGGACTCACGTCTGTGCGCCCCGAACCCTTGCACTGGAGACTCCTGGCGCCGGCATCCTAAACTACGATGAAGAACTACACACCCTTATTATGACATGAGGTGGCAGCAACTGCTGCAGCTCACGTGCTGCGCTCGTCCGGAACTCAGCTCGGGTGCAATGCCAAGCTTCCGAACGGTCGGCTTAGGGGTTTACGGCTTTGATAGGCTCCACTCCCGACGGAATTCACCTGTCCAGTCCCTGTCAAGAACTCTGAAGCTCGATTCTCCGAAGGAAGTTAATGGGTGTCTTACTGGTAGAGACCTCAAATAGGATTCCTCATTTTATGCGGGTTCTTATCAAGTGGAGATCCCAAGAGTTTGGGCTTACAGGGCTCTGTTTGGATAAGCTGTATACTTTATTCGTTGCGGAATGTCCTTCCACCTTCTCTAACACTGAAGGTGCCAGCCTTCTTGCTGAGCTATTCCGGAATTGCAATGAATGAGGGACCCCTGTAGGTCTTCAGTAATCAGGTATAGATGCGTTAGGCTACGGTTTAGAAAGGCAAAGCATTCAGAGATTTCCAGGAGTAAACCTACTCTCATGCTTGCCCTCCCAGTGCTCTGGAGCTATCAGGTGGTGAGCTCTTGTCAATAAAAAACCCAAAAGGACATGGCTTGTTGACAGGGGGAGCCTCATAGAGCGACAACATGATCCCGATGTAGGAATGCTTGTATAGCTCAGAACTAACAGCTGGAAAGCGGGTCGGCGAACCCAGGCATTTGAGCTTGCAAAGCCCGGAGCCTGGTCACCCAGTTTTGAGTGGCTTTGGTCAGATCTTCTTGAGTGGCTCTGCGTCGGGGCTGCTTGACATCTGTGTCTTGGGCTGTTCGAAGCAGGACACCAGTGCATGCAGGAATTCAGTTCAGGGCCTTGCATGACGGAAAGCGCCAGTTGGCGGGGCGTTAGCCTTCAAAAAGGGGGATGGAGTGGCAAGAGGGGGGGTGGACAAACCCGCCGGGCTTTGCGAGTTACGTCTGTTGGGAGTGTATGACTGCGGTATTTACGGTGTGCCTGCCAGCAGCGAAAAGCCGTCTCTGCGGAGAGCTGCTCGACGGACTTCACCGGGCTCGTGACCCGGGGTGACCCGTGGCAGGCAGCTGATGCTCACGATGCCCGCCTTGGGTGAGCTAAGCACGAGGGTTCAGGACGACAATCAGATGAACGTGAGCGGCGTGTCGGGCGATACAGCACAGAAAAGCACACAATGGTTTTGTAATTCGATCATGGTAGGAGATGTCAAAAGCTTCATCTGCTTGAAATAATAATACAGTGACATGAATCCCATGGCTGCCGCAGTACGAAAGGGAATGGCCAAGCCAATAATATCATAGGGAGATCATGTGCATCGTTTTACGCCACGGTTTTTTGCAGAACACAGATACAGGTAACTTACATCCGAAGCCGCGAAGCAAGGAAGCCGAGCAGCCAGGAGCTCAAAAACATTCAAAAAGCAAACGCCGAAGCCACGAGGACGTGGGGTCACGACGAATGTTGTGTTCGGTAGCTGGAAGTGTCTGCGGATGCACCCTCGAGTTTGAAACCTCAGCAGCAAAGGCAGAGCCTAAAACAGAGGCTTCTGCTATCGGCTCTTGAATGGGAGCAGCCGTGCTGCATGCCAGCTTCACCTGTGGTAAACCGACATCTTGCACCAAACGGAAAAGATCGAGGACCTGGAGCGAAGCTTTCAAGAAAGCTCTCCCTCAAAAGCATATCTGTATTCCTTGCACCAGTTCCAAGGTCTGGTGATCCACTCTTTAAGAACTTTCAGTGTCACTCAAGCCACGCGGTTCAATTTCATCAGGACGAATAGTGTTAAGGCCAGAATTCTGCATCCAAGCCTTGCTTCCCTAATTTGCACTTAAACCCCTTGCCTTTCCGCCAAGACATGAAATCGGGCCAGCACGGATGCGTGAGTGGCAAACTCGGGGGGTGTGGCAAGCCCTAAAACCTTAGAGTGGCGCACGGTGAAGCTGACTTTCGCACCCGGAGTCACACACCTTCAACAGTTCTTTCAACTCCCCAACCTCGAAGAACAATCAAAAATACCACGAGACAGGAAAAGAGCCAACCATAGCAATCCCTGAACTCCAAACCCACGAAGTGATAGGGTTTGGCAAACCCAGACTTTGATAAGAAGCTGTCCGCGTGAACTCCAAGCGTGGCGGAGCTCAGAATGATGGCAAAATTGAGTTGGAAGATGAAAGGGATGCCATGCTGACTGACACCAAATACTTCTCAACCATTTTGAAGGCTCCTATGCCCATGCTTCAAGCCGGCAAACGTAACCTAAGGGGGGCGGGAGTAGCAACGGCCGCCGAACACGTGCACCTACGACCCCAACATAAGACACAGTAGTTCGTCCGACCACAGTTGCCCAACCCAGCAGTCGCAGCAACTTCGGTTTCTCACAATGATTATTCGCAAGGTTTCTGGCGATGATATCCAGGCATATTTGGGTTTAACAGTTTCTTCCTTCTCGGCTTCTCGGCGAACGCAAACATATGCTTGAATATGTTTGAGGAATGCACCGCAGGACGTCAACAGATATCGCAGCAGTTTAAAACCGCGCCTTCCTCCCCCCCAGCCACACACTTGCTGTACATGGTGGTGGCAGCAACATCGTTTGTCCCCGTATGTGAAAAGGTGCCCCCTTCTCCTAAGACATTCAGCAATTTCCCTCCCCCGTCGGTTTCCCAGCGAAGGCAAACAGAATCTGACTGGGTGGGTGGGTAGCATAACGACCGCTTAGCATGTGAAGCCAAACAAGCAAACGAAAAAACAAACAAACAAAAGAAACAACAGTCGTTCAGCAGCGCACAACAGTCATTCAGACAAAGGTTCCCGAACTCGGGTTGTGGTGGTTTTCTCGACGTCCAACCCAGCAAGAGGCTTGGTGCGACTTCAAATTTAAATTAAAGGCAAAGTTGGGTTGGTGTTCGGTGTACGTTCACCTCCAAGCTGGAAAGACAATGAAGCAGCATCCGATTGTTAACGCTGTTAAACGAGGCGCTTATTCATCAGGTTCTACAGCACGGTTTTGGGGTTTAGGCAAGCCTTAGGATGCCTTAGGTCTATTGGCTCTGCGGTCCAAAACACGCATCCCGTATTTAGGCGCCGCTGCCAATGCGTTTAGTGAGCCCTGCCTTCGGCCCATGTTTCACACCCGTGACATCGCTTGCCTTCGAAAAACTGAGTCGCTGCGGACATTTTTGCTGTGTCTCTTCACCTCATCGGTCTGAATGCCAGTACGGCTTCAGCTTACGAGGACAAGGTGCATCGAGGCCATGATCTCAAGCTACGTCCTCCCGCAGCATTTGCCCAAAAGGCAGTGTCTGAGTCTTACAATCCCATACAGCCCATACAGCTTCCTCATGCCATACGTTTGGAACCAGTGCAGTGTTGTCACAATCACAAGGCCGCAAAACCTAAGACCAGTTTCTGCACCCTGCGGTGGTCCAAACCTTACACCCGAATCTGCTCGATTTAAGCATTTCTGGCCATCGCGAGCATTTAAAGCTCCTGCCATGCCTGTGATCAGGACCGAGTTATTTCATGTTTGTCCGCACCTAGCACTCGCACCCCGTTTACTCCCGAGACCGGAAAGTTGCGGCACCCAATCACGGCTTGAAGCAGTAGTACAACCCTAGGAAGCATCAGCTCCTAAACTCCTTGACCAAGATCCCGAAGTCACAAATCCGGAGTTCGGAGAAAGACGGGTCTGAGTTTCTACACAGCATCGACGGAATTGATGCCTTAGGCCTCTTTACAGCGCCCCAATACGCAATCTGTCCCTTGTCTTCTGCCCTCATAGGTCCGACCCCCATCCCAACACGAGCTCCTTCCGATGCACGACGCCGATTCAATCTGAAGTTACCTATAGGGTCTTAGGGGCGCATCTAATGCTTCTTCTAAGTAGGCTTCTTCGCAGCCGGGGCACCATTAAAGGAGCTAAATAAATCCTGGTAAAATCCTTCGCTGAACATGTGATAAACTGGGTCCTCAGGTGGCTCAAGCATGCCAAGCTTTTTGTAGCCTTTTCTAGCCTTGCCTAGCTTTTCAATGGAATTCCTTAGCCGGGCCCCCGGCCCCAAATCAGGAAAAATCTAGTTTTTTCTAGCTTTTTCTAGCTTTATCTAGCTTTTTCTAGCTTTTTCTAGTTTTTTCTAGCTTTATCTAGCTTTTTCTAGCTTTTTCTAGTGGATTGGAAAACGCACTGCATGCCACATAATTCCAAGAAAAATCCCCCGCTCAACTAACTGCCAACCCTAAAGCACCAAACAGAACCTTCAATCATACATCCGAAATCCGCCACCCTGAACCCTTTATCTTCATCCCAAAACCCTCGCCACTATCTCCAAACCCTGAACTCCTGAACCCAAAGCCACAGGTCCAATCGAGACGTCACTGCAGGAAATTATTAGTCTTTTTTAGCTATTTATAGCTTTTTATAGCTTTTCTTAGCCTTTACAAGCTTTGCCTATGTTTTTGACATGTTCCATGGTTTTCTTGTACTTTTCCTGCAATGCTGAAGCGGCCCGCTTGGAAGAGACATGTGATGTGCTCCTATGATAGGGGATCCCGTGCCCTCCCTCGGATGAAGCACAAAATAGACGGAACGAGGTTCAGAGTCTTCGAGTCGAGCGCGAGAGCGAACTGCAGGCATAGACCTGCATGGATACTTAATCATGATCGTCTACGTAGTTGCATGTCCAGATGTCCTTAGTCTTTCGGTCCCGTTTTGCTTATTCGCTCTCATACTTTCAAACGCCCCTGCATTTAGCATGTGTCGTTGTTCTGACGCGAGCTCTAAATCGCGCATGTGTCTGTCTGAGTATAACTGACTGCAGCTGTAGCAGTCATCAGGAGCAGCAGCGGCAGCAATGCCACCAACATCCTCTTGCTTGCAGGTCCTTCCTCGCGGGCCTCGTCGCAAAGAGCGCTCGGACTTCACTCTCGCAGCAGCTGAAAGTCCGCTTCTCGTCTAGCGTTCAAGGCACAGACCGTTTTCTGCAGTAGGTCGGCTTATTTTTTGAGTGTCCGTTGTCGTGGCGGATTTTTCTGGCTCAGCTTGCGCCTTTTTGAATCGGCAGCAGTGCAATCTAACAATGTGGCGGCGTACTTGTGCAATAGAAATTAGTTACTGAATCGAGACCGTCATGATCTGTCGTCGGAACTCGCTGAACTAGAGACAGGGGCACACCTTCAAGTTGTGACACGGTTTGTTCTTTCTGAACTCACACGACATCGAGGTGCCAGTGCTAGCATGAGCGAGCGAGATAGAGGCACCGCTGAAAAACTGCACGTCTTGCCAACAAAGCAAACAAACGCCTAACCTCAGGGTTTTTTCTGTCCAGCGATGGGGCGGCGCAAGCAGCACAAACTGGACAAGGCCTTGTTGTAGTAGCACTTTCGAAAGCTAGCATATTGCACGGGCCTACTATCTTGGGATTCCTGAGTGTAGTCATAGTTATAGTATAGAAGACCCCAAAGCCCACTTCACACTATTCAGGAACGTATACTACTGTCGGGGGACTTAGTAACTGGTTATTTTTAGGGACGTATAAGTACCATAACCCCAATTAGGGTCCCTTTTAGGGTACGTATAAGTCTACTTACTACCTACTTACTAAGTCCCCCGGCCCTCCAAGTGATTGGTAGCCTGCTATCATGACAGGACCGCATCGCCTGCGCACATTTCACTGCGGCACCGCCCTCGACCTTGAGGGTTTCCTAAAATTGTAACATTGTTCCCTAGGGTTCCTTGTCATAGTTGCACCATAAGCGGGCCCAGAGCCTTATTCGAGTTATTGAGGCCCCTACATCATCGAATGAGACTTCGATATCTGCTGAGTTTCTCAAGGTTTTTGTGTCACACGGCTCCTGCAGTTGAAGGCTCGTACTTCGCCTTTCAGTTGTCTTTGCCGCTACGACGATTGTGATAGGGTGGACCAGCTGATTGTTGGGATTCTGACCGTGATCATGGTGATGGTGTTGGTGATGCTCTGCAGGTGCTGATTCTGATGACGATGGTCATGACTGGTTTCATCACTCTCGTCGTCTTGGCCACTGCTTCCAGCGATGGATTGGAGATCGTTGGCTGTCGCTTGGTGTTTGGTTTGCCTTTGGTGTTGCTCAGATGCGGGCGGCCCGTGAGGCGGCCCAGCTCGATGCTGCCCTCTGCTTGGATTCTCTTAGTGGAAGTTGTCTGCCTTTGTCTGAAGCGAGACGAGCTTGAAGGTCATGGCCGGCATGCTGGAGGCAGGTCTGAGCTCGAGGTGCTCCCCGCAAGACTACTTGCAAGCAGAGCGCAATGTCCCCCTGCTTTGCGAAGCCCCGGCAGGTGCAGCAACCCCGTGGACCTCGAGGGAGCCTCCGATGCTTCACCTGTGGGGGGGCCTGCGATGGCTGTATGCGAGAAGCTTCGGATTCGTCAGAATCCTCTGCGTGGACTCAGGGCCCATTCTGAGAATGCAGAACTGTGTCGGAACATTGAAGACGGTTTGTGCTATTGTGCTATTGACAGAGGCTGCCAGTCCAGGCTCCGAAGGGCCACAGGCAGGGCTCGACGCTGACTGCTGCTGAAGTTTGCGCATGTCTGTTGCGGTCTGGACGAGGCACCTGCGGCGCAGCCGCAGCAGCCAAAGCCCATGCCTTTGTGTGATGTCCCTGAAACCTCCGGACTTTTCTCTCGATTGGCTGCTGTTCTTGTTCTTGTTTGCGTTAAGCCATGTAAAGCGTAGTGGCCCTTTTCTAGGCAAGAGTGGCGGACTGACTGTCGAGCAGCATGCGACAGCTGAGGCCCGAAGTGGTGGCAACGCACGAGTCGCAGAAAGACGAGAGCGGCAGGCCTTGTGGATGCAAGCGTGATCTCCTGGCCGCACCATCTGCAGATGAGACCTGTCACAACGAGGTTGCAAGCGGATGATGATGCCAGTGAGCTGAACGCTGTGGAGTGCTTGGAGCTCTGATCTCAGACGTTTATCCAGACTGCATAAGTAAATATTCTAAGGCTCCGAGCCTCATGCTAGTCTTCAGCTTGAAGCTGTCGAATTCGATCATTAGGATGTCGCTGTTTGGGACTCTTGCCATGTGGCATTGTTGAGCTTTCGAGCAGTCCAGGCATCCCCACTTCGCAAGCTCGCTACTGGAGGCGATTGGGCCAGTTGCAGCGCCAGAGCAACTTCGCAACTTCTGCACGCATGTGTCCTTACAGGCATCACACGATTCGATGGATGCCAGCAACTTGTTGCAGGCTTGCACTCATGCTACAGGGCCATTCAGTTTTCTGTAGGCGTTGTGTCTTGACTTGTCGAGGATCTGGCGTTGCAGGATCCAGACTCTGCAGAAGATGATCACTTCCCGAGCTCGCTTCTGGAGGCGATGCAACAGAAGTGGGTACACTTCATGCGGTCATGCGAGCAGACGCAGCTGTGAGGAGTCCGTCTCCCCGGAGGAGCCGGGCGAGCCGATCGAAGACCAGGACCACGGAGATTTTCCGTGCTGTCAGGCCATTGGTCATGCCTGCGTCTAGAATCAAGCTATTTGTCATGTTCACTGCGCTGTCGATCGGTGCTGTCACGCCATGTTGAATCACATAACAAAAGCTGATGGAGCATCCCGCCAAGTTGCAGTGCAAGGATGAGGCGTTTGCAGCACTGGTGGAGCCATTGGTGGGAGATGCTCTTGGGGACTCCATGGCATCTCGATTGATGACTCCAGAACCGGAGGCAACAGATCCATGCATCGCTCCCCTGAAGTCCCCCAGATCTATGCGTCTTGTTTGGCCCCTGAGGAGTCTGAGGGCTTGGAGGCCTCGCCGTTTGCCTCGGCCTTCAATGCATCTCGGGACCGGGCTGAAGTTTGGGGCCGAAGTTTGTTATGTCCTGCGTTGCCTCTCCTTTGCCTCTTCGAGGACACTGCTGACACACCCGACCACGGTCAGGCCTTGCCGGCGTTGCTGGGCAAGGCCATGGACAGACGAGTGCACTCGGGTTCAGAGGTGTAGGCATCGGGGCTTGGCCACGAGGTTCGAGTAGTTGGGTCCTTTGCAGTATTGTGGAGTGCAGGGCTGCAGTGCTTCGGAAAGATGCAGTGCTCGGTCCAACACGAGTAGAAATGCAAGATGTCTCGTCTGCAAAACCTGCCTCAACAGCGCACGTCAGCTCCAGCTTAATTTCATAAGGTTCTAACACGGTTCCACGACGTTGTTCTGGGGTTCTTGTGGGCTTGTGTCTCTAATGTGTGTGGGGTTGTTCTTTAGCAAAGACGAAGTCAACGCTTCCAGAGAGTCGCTCGAGCAGTTCCCGAAATGCAATCGGATCCCGAAGCTGCGAAGCCACAGCCGCTAGGGTTCTGTCCTTCTTCCAGTTATGGTCATCCTCATCAGCATCGTTTCGACGTTGTAGCCACGGGTTACATCGTCGTCGTCGTAATCAAGATCTTTCTGGAGTGGCTTCTGGATGCTTTCGACTCTTGACACGTTTAGATGGTATGGAGGACGTCAAGAACAAGGACAGAGAAGACACTTCCAGGCCCCAAACGACAGACATCAGAAGCAAAGAACCCTGGGAGCCCGCAAGACCTCTCTGCAAGCACGGCTTCCGACGGCGTCTCGGGTGGCAGCTCAGGCGGGTCATGCTCGACGATCTGCCAAACCAGCCAACCTAAGCTGGGCTTCTGTTTGATCAGGGCTTGCAGACTGGCTCTCCCTCTACCTCCCGAGGAAAGGAGTGGTTCCGGAAGTAAGCCCCCACACATCTCTTGGTGTTTTCCGCTGCATGCGCATACGGGGTTCAATGCTCTGTTTGAGGCACACGAATGCGATAAAGTTCACATCCTACATGGAAGCATCCGAACACCCCTTCGGCGATGCATGGAGCTGATCCTAGCAACAGACCGGCAACAAACTCCGGGGATGTTTTATGGGTACTAACATTGTCACTCGCGGAAGT